CGGTTCTGCCTTTTGTGCAGAACGAGACACTTCCTGTCGCTTGATGCTGTGTTTGCTTTTCTGATCCGGCTCCCAGAGAGCTGTTGTTGTCCACTGCTGGTTTAGCATTCATGCCTGTCCCTCTCTTTCCACCCTGAACGAACTCCAGCACCCACCCTGAACTCAGACATACCTGTACCACCAGCTCTGGGCTGGGTCAAAATGTGCTCTACTCAGTCTTCCTATCCAGCCACACTCCCTCACACATGCAAATCTGCCCTTTGCAGTTTTTTCTTATCAACTTATTTGTCACTGTCCATCTTTGTCCTGGAGTCTGACTGTGCGTGTCTTTGTATGTTTGCACATACAGTAGGATGGACACACACACACACACACTGTGATTAGTGCTGCTGCTGAGCCAGCTACGAGAGGGAATGGGGAGCTGTGAGAGGAATGTGATCTGACATGACTGCACAGGTCTGGCCTTCACATGGAACAGGCTCATAGCTGACAGATGAAAAAAGGGCCGGTGCAGCTTTGCTTTCGGTGTCAGTTTATGAACATGTCACTGTGTATTAATAATAGTTATTGAGGGTTGTCAAGGGGCTATAATATATATATATATATATATATATAATGACAGGAACTTCCTTTAAAATTTCTTGCATCATGTGTTTATTGCTTTCCTTGAATGTGAACAAAGCCTGAACTCAGGACTTCCTGCTCCTTCAGAACTCATTGTGACCACAGATGTTTTGCAGCTTGGCTTGATGACTCAAACAAAAACACACTTTCATTCTCCATTAATAGTGTGATAAATATTCATTGTGCAAATTTTAGCGTCTGTGCACACACATACCACCTGAAGTTATTAGTACTCCTCAAGTTGAACTATGTTTTCAGAGGCAACATCAAACAACACCCAAAAACCAATGTTGTTGTTTTTTTAAGCAGTATCTACAGACCACTGCTCTCTCCTTATCCATCCTGGCTGATCTTTATCTAATTTTGCATTTTATTCTAGTATCTGCAGTCTATTCAAATTGCATAGGCAGTCCAGCTTCTCCATGATCTCCTGCATGTGCTAGAACAGTCTCAAGAAAGTCTCAAGAAGGTAACAGGACAATACGGTTAAAGAGTTAAGACAGAGTTAATCATGCATTTTTCTGACCAAACTGTCACAAAGAGACTCCATGAGGGTGGCGTGAGGGCCTGACACCTTTTTAATGGAACTTGTGGTCACAGTCCAGCACTATGCAATGCAACTGACATTAGCTAGAGAACACCAGAACTAGCCACCACTGGCAGGCCATTATCCTCACAGATAAAAGCAGGTTTAGGCTGATCATATGTTAAAGCGTCTGGTGACACTGTATGCAACACCATCCGGCATGACGGGTTTGGCATTGGGTTATTGATAGAGGGCCGCACAGACTTCTGTGCGCTAGCCAACACTACCCATTTTCAGACATTACGCTGGTACAGTGAGCTTTGTGTTCCTCCTAGCACATGACACTGTCTGGCCTCATGTGATCAGAATGTGTAGGCACTTCTGGGATGACCAAGGCATTGATGCCAATGACTGGCCCTCACATTCCACAGAGATGAGTCCAATTGAGAACCTCTGGAACTTTATGTATTGCTGTATCTGATACCGCCAGATTGTGCCAGAGAATGTCCAGGAGCCCCCCGATGCTCTGATCCTCCCGGACTCCATCCATACTCTCTTCTGCAGAATCCCCATATGTTGGGAGGTCTTATATTAAAACATTAGGGCGATACGCACTGCTGAGCCACATTATGACACAAATTGGATCAGCTTGTTTGGTTTACCAGCTCTCATGTTTTTATATTTGGGAGTTTTATGTTTTCTCGAGTTACAAAATGACAGTGCACATGGATGGGCATTGACACCAAGCCTCTTAAGCTTAAGATTAAGCCTCACGACTGAAATCCAAAAACATTACTTAAACTTGAAATTAAGGTTTAGGTTAAACTTTGAAAACTTTAAATGATCTACAAAAAAGAGCACAGATTAAAGATTTCTAACTTTTACAGGGACTAAAAGTCACACAAAGACAGTTCTACATGAAGACACTATATTTCTGCTTATCTTTTTCTTGCTTTTCTGAGAAAAGCGATTTCAATCATTGTCACATGTAATTTGGAGGAGCTGTTCCAAGAAAGCAGCAACATGCAAACTGCCTGCTCTGCACAGCCACATCATGCAGACACACACACATGCATTCAGTGACTGTAACCATACAGCTGTCCCCTTTTCAAAACAGTAACTTTATAATTGCATGCATGTGAGGCCTTTGGGGGGCATCTGTAAAGTGTAACTATAAAAGCATGGCTCAAGCTCTTCTGCGCTGGTTTAGCTATTCTCACTTTCGTAGCAGTTAAATAGCATCATATACCACAGTAGATATGTGTAAATGTCACAGCCACATCACAACCCAGCATAGCACCACTTCTTCCTTCTCTCATCTTTGGTTTAGCCTCTCACCCTGAAACTGCAGCTGGTTTTAAGTTGAGCTAACCTCTAACGCCAAAGTAGACGAGTGAGCAACTGTCAACATTTCTTAGAAACTCAGAGGATATTGATTACTGCAGTGACTTAGAGTTGTGATTTTGAATTTCTGTCCTCAGGACCCAGAGTTGTTGTTTTTCTATTCCATCAGGTAGTTAATTACATTCACCTGGCGTCACATGTATGGATCAGTCGCTGATTCGATTTGTAGAATGAAAATCAGCAGCCCTCAGGCCCCGGGGCAAGGATTGATGACCACCGGCTTAGAGCAACAGTAAACAAATACATGTCACATCTTTAGCATCTCCCTGGAGCTAATGCTGTGTTTACAGACGCACTGATGTACCCAAAAAGATCTTTAATGCAGTTCTTATCCCAAACACTGTCTATTCCTCTCTATCGATCAAACTGCATTTTTATGGCACGTTCTGTACAGGACAATGCAGTTCAATGTGCTTAATTGTGACTGGGAGATATAAAATAAAACTGTGTTTGGGGTGGCTGTAGCTCAGGTGGAAGAGCGGATCAGGCATTAACCAGAAGGTCGGTGGTTCGATCCCAGGCTGCTCCAGTCTGCATGCCAAATATCCTTGGGCAAGATACTAACCCCATGTTGTTCTCCGATGCATCCATCGGAGTGTGAATGTGTATGAATGTTAATACTTAGCACTTAAGCTTAGAAGTGCTTGTGTGAATGGGTGTGACTGGGTGAATGAATCAGCTGTATAAAGCGCTTTGAGTGCTCGGACAGAGTAGAAAAGCGCTATATAAGAACCAGTCCATTTACCATTTAAACATTATTATGTGCAGTAAAGAGTTCAAAACAAAACTTTATCAAGAGACTGGCTATACAACCATCTGTGTTATAATGATAATTATCATCACTGTGGCACAATACCATTAAAATATGTTTTATATTGCATCACCACAAATATGATCCATCCAAATACATTATCCCATATGTATATACTGCACTAACTCTTGCCTATGACAGCTTCTTACTCCATGTCCACTTTTTTCTGTCATTTGTAATTATCTTTGCATTTCTGTCTTGCGTACTCCAGTTTTAATATAAACTGACCCTAATGTTCCCTTTGGTGCCTCAATAGAAGTAGTAAACATGCTTGAAGTAAGATTTCTCAGATCACAGTGCCCTTTATAGTTCATTGTCCCACCTATTTTCCTAACCACCTAGCCACTCCGGGGGTGAGGTAGGGGTTTTGTAACCTAGCCCAGCTGTTACTGGGTGAGAGGTGGGAGTACATCATGGACAGGTTGACAGTCCATAACAAGGATGGTTAATTGTTTCATACTTCATGACCAGATGATGGAAAACTAATGACAGTCCCATTATCCTTATCTGTGCTTTCTATTAAAGCACAGATAAGGGGCGACCGTGGCTCAGGGGGTTGGGAAGCGCATTTGTAACCGGAAAGTCGCCGGTTCGATCCCCGGGCTCTCTGTCCTGGTCGTTGTGTCCTTGGGCAAGACACTTCACCTACCGCCTGCTGCTGTTGGCCAGAGGGGCCGATGGCGCGATATGGCAGCCTCACTTCTGTCAGTCTGCCCCAGGGCAGCTGTGGCTACAACTGTAGCTTGCCTCCGCCAGTGTGTGAATGAATAGTGGCATTGTAAAGGGCTTTGGGTGCCTTGAAAAGCGCTATATAAATCCAATCCATTAATATTATTATTATTATTATTATTATTACATACAACTAGAATATACTATGCTATGTGAATCTAATAGCTCTCATATTGTAGCTTTCATTTTGCATGTTACCATCTAAAACAAAATGTTTAGGACTCTTAGATTATTTCCACCTTAACAGGATGAATCCAGATCAAAGCAGTGTAAATTTCCCCGGTTTCGTATAATATATGGGAGGAATCTAACACACGTACCCATGACTCACGAGGGCCTCCCTTGCTGTGAGCTCTGTTCCCAAAGCATATGAGAGGGATGAAACAGGAAGACTGTAAATAACTTATCTGTTATACAGAGAGTCTGCACCCTCCAAACAATGGCCCAGAGGAAGTGTGTCCTCCGAGCTCCTCTCCTGTTATCATACTCTGAATATGCTGTATGCTCCGTGCACGAGGTGATGATGCTCTGAGAATCACATAACTAAAACCAAACAAACTGGACGTGCTGCTATGCATGTCCTTCACGCAGAGGAGATCAGAGATAGCATTGTTGTTTTGAAGTGATTCAAGAAAGAAGATCCTCCTAATATCAATGACTGGACTCTTCTGCTGTTCTGCGTCTTTCAAATTTGATTAAATTTTAATTATTTTTCCTTTGATTTTATGACCTAATGGATTTCTTTTTCACTGCATGGTGATGTTGTCAAGAGGCTGTTAGTGCTTCTACCTGAATTATTAGCACTTTATGCTGATTATCATTATTTTTATTGAAATTATGTTGCTCTAATTAATTTTTTTAAATTTCTTTTACTTTTTTTTTTTCTTTTTTTCCTTGTGCCTTCAGAATATCGATGTGACCAACTTCAGCAGCAGTTGGAGTGATGGCCTGGCTTTCTGTGCACTATTGCACACATATCTGCCTGCCCACATCCCTTACCACGAACTCATCAGTCAAGATAAGGTAGAAAAATACAGGAACGCTGAGCACACATGCAATCACGCAAACACGTACACACACACACACAGTGGCTCACCAGCAGTTAATCAGAACCGCCTAAACAATGAAACCCATTGGAAATTTATATATTGCATTTATAAGTTCTAAGTATTTATAAAACAGATGCAGATGTACATTATCAATTGTATTTACAGGGAGTGCAGAATTATT